GGGGGGGGGACCATATACTGAAACCCTGAAAGCAAAGGTTCACATAATTAGCTACTCACAATTAAGTAATATTGGATCATTTTCCTCAATAAAAAAATGACCAAGTATGTTATCCTCTGTTTAACTGTGTTCTCTTTATCTACTTTTAGGACGTGTGTGAAAATCTGATGATGTTTAACGTCATCTTTATGCAGAAATATGGAAAATTTTAAATAGTTCACAAACTTTCAAGCACAACTGCATTTACAGCATCTTATGGGAACCTGAAACTTGTGCATCCTATTTGGCTGGTTCCACTACAAGTATACAGTCTTAACACCTCCACATAATCATATCTGTCAGTAGTTCAACTCCCGGTACCAGCAACATCAAAATGTGGATGGGAAAGGTGAAACATCTGCCTCTATCCTCATTTGCTCCACTCTGGGCCCTTGAGCAAGGCCCTTAACCCCCACCATCTGCTCCCCTGGGCACCCTACATCGCAGCTCTCTGTCCCACACAGAGGGCTGTGGAGCTCGGTGGTGTGTGGTTGTGTCAGAAAAGGCATCTGATGCAAAAATAATTGCCAAGTCTTCGTGCAACTTAGATTGCTGTGGCAACTCCTGAAGAAAGGAGCAGCCGAAAGAAAAAAAGGAAGAAAATAAATGCAAGACTTATCTCAAGAGTTGTTTGTTTCCTTGAATGTAAACTATATGTAATACAGCGGTACAACAGTTAATTAAAACAACATGACTATTTGCTAATTGGTCCAAAAAGCATATTGAAAAGTATTTACCACTGACGTTCTTCACAAGTTACTTCTGTGAACTTTTATACAACTTTTTTTTTCTTACCAACAGGCTACGTTTTCCACTTTTCTTACTTATCTAATGTGGAAAATATCACCTTAGCAAGTGCGCCACTTAAAGCAAACCACCAGTATCACTTTTGGTTCTGCTAGCATCCTTTCTTCGGGTGTTAAAATTGGTGCTTCTACTTGAGGATGGGATTGTTGATTCACAAATTGTTTGATACTTCACACCCAAGTGAGTTTTTTTTTTTTTTTTTTCAATTTGTTCATAGCCCAAGAGTAAAAAGTATGTGGATCACCTTGAAGGATGTCACACAGTCACTCTCGATTTAGTCACCAAATGATTTATTTCTGCTGCCTCTGGGTGCATCACTAATATTACAATTTAGCTTTATATCTCTTTTCTTATCAATACCTTCTATTCCAAGTGACTGCAAAGGGCACCATGAAGATGATTTGACTCCCAGCATCATATAAATGTCAAACACCAACCGAGTGTCAAAGCAGGATTGAGGCACAATCACACAGTATATTTACCTTGTTCGCAGGTTTCCAGGACTGGGCGGCCCATCATATACAGACAGGATGTCAAAGTCCTCCTCCAGAGCGAAGCCTTGGAACACCAGCTGTATCCGGTTATGCTCAGCTCCCACGATCACCCATGTACAGTTGGCATAGTTAGGATAACCATACGGGTATCCAGGACTCTCTATTGTCCCATTGGGACTGTGTAGTGTGTAACTGCAGTTCTGAGCTGTAAACGGAAGAAGAAGAAGAAAATAGAGGCATTTATTTAAAGGATAAGTGCATTTTGAAACAATTACAAGACTAAAGTTTATATAAACATATAAAGAGAATCTATACAAATGCACACCCACAGTCAAACAGTTTAGACGTGATGCAACATCCATTATCACCTGCAGCGTGTGGCATACGCCATTAATATTCTAGTGCTAAAAATGGTTCGTTCTCTCCCAGCTTTTCTTACATTTTCTACCGTCATCGTCACACATGTTCACTCTCCTGTCCCGTCTACCACCTCAGAAATAGGTCCCCGTGTTCATACACGACACAGCTCGAGAGGCGATGAGGAGACAGGAGGGTGGAAGAGGAGAAGACACACTTGAGTGCTTCTTTAATTGATGTCATTTTCCTTTTCTTTTTTTTTTTACACCGTGTACACAGCCTGGAGAGTTTAATTCTGCATGTTTCCATTTATCCTTATTGGCGCACGCTGGATGGATGTGTGAAATGTCAGTTTAGTGGCTGTGTTTTTAATCTCAGAGGATTTAAGGGAAGGGGCTGATGTGTGATTCTGAGGATGGAATTTTGTGCAACTCTCATGACTTGCACATTCACATGCCTGCACAGACACGTCTCTCTAACTGATGCAGGCGGTGATTTGATCTCATGTTTTTTTGCTAGTGATAGTTATCTCCTCCAAGCAAAAGCGGAGCAAAGTGAAATCTAGTTTCAATCTCTGCTACGGCAAAAATATATATATATATATGAGCAGTCACTTGTCAGTCTGTCAGCGACGACTGGAACAAGAACATGATCTGATGTTTGAGAGAATTGCAGCAGAACTGCTGTAACCTTATCCAACGTTCAACAAATGAATACAAGATCTATGCAAAGAATTTTCCTCGGGCGTGCTCTTTACACTTATGATCTACTATTTAAATACGCTTATTTTCAGCTGCAAACTAAAGAACAATGTAGCTCGATTAAAAATGAATTCAGATTGTATAAATAGAGGTCATCTGAAGCCTGCATTATATATATAAAAAATATACACCTATAACAGATGCATTTTTTTAGCTTTATTAAGATTAATCTTTAAACACTACAGGACAATATATGTGACAAAATAGTGCATACGATATAAATACATCTACCAGTCATATCAAGACAAAAAAATCTAATATTTAACTGTTGACAATCGTCAAATTTGTTAAAACTGCAATTTAGATTTAACAATATGAGTTATGTGGAAGTTAATACTGTAATACAATCAAATGTTTCCTTTTAAATATGTTTCTTGGTTGAGAAAGCTTTACAAATTACTGGGTAATAAATCAAGACAACTGACAAAGAAGAAGTTTCACGGTTTACCTTACATATAACCTCAGCATTCACTTTGTTTATTGTCTGCCAATTTGTGTGCCACGTTTTAAACAAACATCAAATTATTTTTTAGCACTCAAAGAAAGAAGCAGACAGAACAGCAATAGAGAAGTTCCACAAATCATGACTGTGAAATACCATTTTGCAGGACAACCTTTGGAAAGACTACCTTCTCTATTACAAGCTGTAAGCTGTGGAACTCATTACCATCTGTTTTTAAGACCACAAGTGACATTAAAATATTCACTTCAAGGCTTAAGAATTGGCTAAAGATGAACCAGAATTGTACACATTTTTAAATATTGTAATTGTTTTAACTCACTAGTTTTAAATACATTGTTTTGTATTTATTTTTCATCATTTTCGTTCGTTTTTACTGTTGATTTTAACTTTTCACTTAACCAACGGATAAAGGCCCATCTAGGGATGGGTGTTGTCAGAGTTTAGATGAAATGTGTTTAGTGGTTCATAAAATATTTTGTTAACAGCCATAAAGGGTTTACTTTAACAAGCAACGGTAAAATTTTAGGCAAAGCTGTTGCATAACGTGCAGCTCTCAGCCACTATTCTGGCAAATTTAGGCAAAATATTTGTAAAATTGACAGAGCTATAGGCATTTTTGTATTTGCCAAGGTCAAATAGTTGTGGTGGCCAATTTTTAACTACAGACAGGAAGCAGGGGCAGCTGTGGCTGAGCAGTCGTCCTCCAATGAGAGAGTTGCGGGTTCAATTCCACCAGCAGTCACATGCTGACGTGTCCCTGGGCAAGACACTGAACTCCCATTGCCTCCGATGTGTCTCATCAGAGTATGAATGTGATAAATCACTGATTAGTTTCTATAGATTCAGCTTTGTAGAGATCTAATAGAGTGTTGTATGAATTGGTAAAATGAGGGCACAGATTGTAGTGTGAAGTGCTTGGAGTTTCTTGATAAGATAAAAAGAGCTATATAAGTGCAGTCAACATACAGGTAATAAAAATACGACAAAAACCAAACAAAAATGAATAAATACAAAAACAAAGACAAACATATTAGACAATCTATACCTATTCTGTAAATAAGTTCTCATTTCTTCCCACTTATTTCAAGATCTTATCATGTAAGTGAACCACACACAAGACAGTTTTCTTTTTCAATTCTGAACTGCTGCTGGAGTAATATATGCTACAAGTGCGCGCACACATTGAGACAAACAAACATAATGTTACATTTGAGTTGCAGTTGCAGCTGCAAGACTGTAGTACATTTCTGGAAAGATAGCCAGTGGACATGGTTTCAGGAAGTCTAGTATGTCAAGACGGCAGCAGCAGCAGCAGCATAAGTATAATAGCACCACTAGTCAAAGTATATCCATCATGCTGCTGTTGAGTCCCAGGGGCTTGTCTCAGCAAAAAGCAGGCATTAGCCTCTCAGCCGTCACTTCCCAGCTCTTCATATCTGCCTGATCTCCTCCAAAAGATGCTAATGTGTGAGCACTTGAACCCAGACAACGTGAATGTGTTTAGGATTTGTAGAACAAAATTGTGGCGATGCAAAGTCATGTCAAAAGCCCAAACATGACTGAATATTGCTGGAAGCGTTTCTGTTTTTGTCATTTGCACATATGTGTATTCACAGCCCCACTCTTCAAATAGTATAGAAAAAGAGGGTGAACAATATATAAAACCACAGGAATTACAATTTCTGCATGAATGGTGTTTAAATGAGTGATGAGGGACTTTGCTGATTTTTTCCCAAAAAAAATAAATAAATTAGTTTTTTTAAGCTAAAACAAGCAAAATGTAAGCTACAACCTAAGAGCAAAAAATAAAATCTAAACTAAACTAAATACAACCTAAAAGCCAAAAATGTAAAAATGCAATTTAAAATATAAAAGTAATGAAATGCTAAAACCTAAAAGTAGAAAAAATTGCAAAAAGCAAGACTACCAAAATTCATTGGAGTTGATGACACCATCATCTACCTGCTGCACAGAGCCTACACACACACGGACAGGGCAGGCAGCACTGTAAGAGTCATGTTCTTTGACTTTTCCAGTGCCTTTAACACCATAAGACCTGCTCTACTCTGCAGTAAGCTCCGGGACATGCAGGTGAATGACTTGCTGGTCACCTGGATCAGAGACTATCTCACAGGTCAGCCACAATATGTGAGACTGCAGAACCATTGTGCTTGCTCAGGATGGGAGACTGCAATGGAGCCTAGATTCAACAAGTCTGCTGGCTTCCTTAGATAGAGAACTTTACTAATTGGCTTTTCTATGTATGTGAATGTTCCTGTAAAGTGCCCTGAGACAACTTTGTTATGATTCGGCGTTATATAAATAAACTGAATTGAATTGAATAGAACACCACCTCGGACACCAAACTGAGCAGCACAGGGGCTCCTCTGGGGACGGTCCTCTCGCCATTTTTGTTCACACTCTACACCTCGGACTTCAGGTACAACTGGCAATCCTGCCATCTGTAGAAGTTATGGATGACTCTGCCATTGTTGGCTGCATCACTGGTGACCAGGAAGCTGAATACACAGGTGTGGTGGACAGAACCACCTGCAACTCAACAGTGGAAAAACTAAAGAGCTGCAGGTGGACTACAGGAAGATCACCCCCCCTCCCCCTCCCCCCAACCCTATCAACATCAAGGGTACTAAGGTGGACACTGTGGGCTGCTACAAGTACCTGGGGGTCCACCTAGACAATAAACTGGACTGGACAGCTAACACCGACGCCCTCTACAAGAAAGGACAGAGTCGTCTTTTTCTTCTGAGGAGACTCAGGCCCTTTAACATCTGCAGAAACATGATGCAGATGTTTACTCAGTGGTCTCCAGTATCATCTTCTACGTTGTGGTGTTCTGGGGCAGCAGGGTGAAGAAAGCTGATGGCAACAGACTCGAAAAACTCATCAAGAGAGCTGGCTCACTTCTGGGAGTGGACCTGCAGTCTCTGACAGAGGTGTCTGAGCAGAGGATGATGAGGAAACTGCTCCAGATCCTGAACAACACATCACACCCCCTGCATGACACCCTGTTCTCTTACTGCAGCACCTTCAGTCAGACTGAGACCACCAAGGGGCTCCACAGAACAACACAGGAAGTCCTTCCTCCCTGTGGCTATCAAACGTTTCAAATTCTCCCCCTTTCTGCCCAAAGGACAATAAAATTAATCCTGCACAATGAACACTTTAATGTTTCTGTCTGCACCTGACCTGTTTTAGACCTTAATTATTGGTATTATTTTTTATATATTCTCTGTTATTTTTATATCTTGTGTGATTATCTGTGTATGTTCCTTTGAACTGAAACTCTAGCACAACAATTTCCTGTGTGATCAATAAAGTTCTATCTTATCTTATCTTATCCTAAAAGGCTGACTTAAAATAGATAATAAGTTGTCTAAAAGTCACAAAAAATAGCTTAAAGTTAATGTAACAATAAGCTTTAAAGTAAAAAATCCAATAAATTTAGGACTATCAAAAGACTACCTACAAGATAAAAGAAGCAAAACTAGTCAAAAGTAGAAACATACTATATAAAACTAAAAGTATCAATAAGTTAGCTAAATGTATTAAAAGCCAAACAAAAAAAAGAAGAAAAAAATGACAGACAGTAGTTAAAAGCTACAATACTCACAAAAGGCTAAAGTATCGAAAGAAGAACTCAATATATTCGTATCAGGAAAATATTTGTATATAAAACAAATATATTTTGAAATGCAAAAGTTTCATAAAGCAAACAAATTGTACCAATCTTCTAAAAATGCTAAGTATTTTCATTTGAAAAAAGTGTCCAAAATAACAAAACATACAAAAGTACTTTGATTGCAAAAAAATAATTAAAAAAATCTGTGTGAATTGGTATTCACACACACACATAACCAAGCCACCACTATTTCCGTCTCATTCCTTTCATTAAAGACTTTGAATAAGCTCTGCAAGTGAGTATCCAACCCTCCCAATTACAATCAGGTCAATACTATTATCTAGGTAAAACCCTATATCCTTCCCCCCATGACTGATT